CTATGTCACTTATCGTGTTAAAATTTATTAAACACTTTTGATCAGTTACACACAGGTTGTAGCATAAGACCTGTAAGATAATATTTAATTATGTGGATTTAGTTATGTTAAGATATCCATCCATACAAGAAAAGATGTGATTGCTAAATTTCACGATTTTTGATTGGTTAAAGGTAACAGGTGTAATCTCGTGATGTGTTACCTCGTGAAATTTTTCTTTTACATTATCTTTGTTTTTTTATTATGCAAATCGACTTTCATTAATAATTGAAAAATGTCTGAATCTAATAAAATCTCATTTTTAAAAAATTGTAAAAATGGGTTGTTTCTATTGAAATCACTCCATATGATCTAATCATATCGTCGAACTCAATTTGTAGGCGCAACACTTCGTTGACATGATTATTTTACAAACAATCAAATTCGTAGACAAGTTTATTTCATAGACATTATTTACAGACATGCTTATTTTATAGACAGTTTTTTCACCGACAGTTCATTTCGCAGAAAAATTTTTTCTTATAAATTACACTAACTTTAATCTTAGCTCTAAAATAACTTCAATTAGTTTAATGCATGGCATTGTATATCAGCCTATAATTCTGTAATTATCGAATATAGTTATGCATCAAAAACGTAACTTTAGTCACGTGTGCGGACAGACATCCTTTTCAAAGTTATGTTCTTGATTTTGTTTTCTTGTATATTACTATTATGCATCAACATCGTAACTTAGATGCATCAAAAACGTAACTTTTGATGCACTTTACACAGGTAAAATGAGGGTCAATAGGTAACCTCCTTATTGCCGCCTATCTTTGGCACCAAAAGAGGTCAATAGAGTATCAATAAAGTTTTTACTGATTGTAAACTATTTAGTTAATAGTCACCAATCAAGACCAATAGGGTATCAATAGGGTACTATAACAAATATTTTCTTTATTTAGTTTTTTTTATTATTCTTTTATTTTATTTTTCTTTCTTTATTTTTATTTTTATATATAGTTTATTTGTACCAATTCCATTTTGATAACAATACCCACGTAGTATAGTCATGATGGGAATATTCAATTAGTTATACTAAAAAAGAAAGTAATAGTGGCTTGGTGGCTTTGCCCATGAAAACGCGTGAATGCTCTAAATAGCGCATATACACACTTACACAAATTTGTAGATCCTGCGCCAAGAGCGTGGACACTTAGATTCAAGCGTATACATTTGTAAAAGAGTGTATACATTCAGTAAAGAACGTATTCGCCCAAAATAGAGCGATAATGCTCTAAGGCAATTAAATATATATAAGAAGTAAAATTTTAATAAAGTTGCACATTCGCTTTTAATGATACAAAGTAATAAAGTATATACTTATCTCTTGTAAATTTCAACTTGAACTTTAATAAACTCTTTCGTAACTCAATTCAATGGACTGAATTGACTTGTAACCTTGATACGGCTTATTAAGACTTAGAATTTCTGTGTAACAGTCTCTTTATATTTTGGAACTTGGTCACGTGATTTCCGTTTGAAAGTGTTTCGTCTAAAAAAAAGAATTGTTTTGGAAAGAAAAGTAAACCGCCCAAATTTCCTTTGGCATCACCAGCATCAGCTGATTTTATAAAGAGTTGAATTGAATCATAGCTTATCTATAAATCATTTTGAATCATATTATCACTTTAGATATCAAATTCTGTTAATATCATTCCTGGATAACAAGTATATTTATTCTCGATCTTTAGAGTGATTATTTTTAAAGTTCTACCCTTTAACATCATTATCAATCAATCATACCACTTTTAACTCTCTCCAAAAAGTATTACTTTTTTGTAATATCATTTCTAAATCATTTAATTCATTACTTTCAACGTTTACATTTTAGTTATTATTATTATCTCAATCATATTCGTTTCAAAGCTTGATTCATTTTTAAGTTATTTATATTTTTCTTTTGTTTATATAAACCCCAATTCTGTAATCAGTTGGAGTTCAAATTAGCACTATTTGTCTATAATTGCCTTGCTCTCCCAAATACAACTGTTACGTTTGGTGCCAGTTGTATGGAAAGAATAAAACAGCACATCTTAAATTAAAAAGCTATTAGTTAAAAGTTAATATTCATATAATAAAATTCGAAATCATAAAAACTTATCTAAAATATAATAATAACTCAACATCTACCAGTAAACCTAGCCTGACCTGCTTTAGGTAATTTGGCTCTACCGCTGTAGCAGCCAAACCCTGTTTAGCCTCCTAATCTGCCACAACCACCCCAACTGCCCCAGCAACTACAACCACCTCAACAGCCATAGCAGCCACAACCATTGAATCCTGTTGACAACTTAGCTGCACAGATTGGGCTATTGATTCAACAAATACAAGCAGCACTGGCCCCACAGGTTAATTACAACCCTCCTAATAGAGAATTAAGTTTGGTTGCATATTTTGATTTTATAGGTGAGGACCAGGACCCTATGACCTGGCTTGATGAGGTCAAGAAGGCTTTGCCACTAATTTAGTAAACAACAACTGACAAATTCTGGTAATCATTCCCCATCTAAAGGATGCAGCAGCAACATGGTAGACAACTACACAGCGACCACCAAACCCCATCAATATCTGGAATAACCTGGCCCACCCAAACATGAGTTTTCACCCCTATTTTATTATTCAATTCCATACTCTAGCCCTGGAAGGTAAATGGTTTACTGAATTAGCTACCCGTAAGCAGCAAGTCGGCGAGGACGTAGATACTTACCACACAGCAATTCAAGAATTGCTTTGTCGAATAAAAACTGGAACTTAACCATACCTGGAAATGGCTAAAGCCCAACTTTTCCTCAACAGGCTACGACCCGACATCATATTAGCCATCATCCTATTTACTTCAAATACGTTACAGGTAGCCTATGATCGAGCTAAGGCTTATGAGAGCACCTGTAAACAAAATCTCTTATATCTACTGGCCTCTATTAGCGCTCTATATTTTACCTATATAACTGCGAACACACTGATTGATTTTTCTTCTCCCCCTGCTGCTATAGATAAATTAACAGATGCTGTTAATAAAATGTTGAATCAGCTCCAGAAACAACGTACACCTACCCCAGGAAATTATAATAAGGTAGTCTGTTATAAGTGTGGTAGGGTGGAACATATAAGTAGAAATTGTCATTTACCTACTATATTCAACCCTCTACCTAATATGTCTCAAAATTATCCTTTATTAAACCAAAAATATTATCTTGAATTAATTTCTATCCTCATAGTACACCCTCAAGTTAATCCAAATCCCCAACATACCCCTGTGTCTACTAGTTCTAATCCTATTTATAACAATAATGTTAACCTCAATGTGAGTGATGCTCCGGAATTCCAGCCCCAAGAAGCGTTGCAAGCTTTACTAGCCATGGCGGCTAGCTTAAATTCTTTCCCAACCCAAAATAATTTGGATAGTTAAGCCCAAGCAATAACCAAACTACTTTTCTTAACCTTTTCAAAGAAGACATATCCTTTTATATTGTAAAGTCTTGGCCTTCGAAACGTTTTCAAGAAGAGAATGGTGATCTAGAGTCTGGTGTGAAAGAATCGCTAGAATCATTGCTGAAAAAAGAAAATAAACTAGAAAAAAAAAAAAAAAAAAAAAAGAAAGATAAGCAAAAAAAAGAAAAGGACAATTTAAATAAAGAGAAAAATAATACAAGCAAAGAAAAGGATACAGGTAACCTCTTCAAAGCCTCATCAGTTAAGCCTAAACGTATTCTAATAATTAGAAAAAAAGTTCCTGAAGATGAGATGCTACAAATTTTTTTTTTAGTCCCACCATATTCAATTATCACCGATCTATATGATAAACTGGCCAATATTACAATTGGACAACTTCTTCATAGCATTCCTACTATAAGAGCTAAATTAATTCAAAGCCTATACAAAAAGAAAACTGTCCCTAAAAGAAAGTAAAAGCTAACATAAGTATAGCTTCTAATATTAAATCCACTGACTTATATTGCGATGCTACTATTCTTGGAGTAGAAGTTCTTATAATAGTAGATAGTGGGTCCTCTGGTAGCATTGTTACTTCTCACTTATTACATGACCTTGGTATCAAGGTTGAAAGGCCATCCACAATAAATATAGTAAATGTTCACAGAGAAAGTAAGCAAGCTCTCAGTGAAATCTTTGACTTCCCTTTTGCTATTGCCAGTATAGAAATTCCTATTGATGTTGTTGTAACCGACACTAGCTTTTACCATGCTATCGTTGAAAATGATTAACTTTCTAAGGTCCAAGCTAAAATTGACTAGACTACTGCTAAAATGAGTTTTACTTGGGAGGATCAAGAAATAATTGTCCCTGTCGAATTCAAGAGGCTACTACCTGAACCTCTAAGTAAGAACCGCCCTAATAAGGTAAAGAGTCTGAATGAAGAAAATAAAGAAAAATTAGAAGAAGATTTAAGTGATAATGAATATGAAGAGGAAGAACTAGAAGAAAGAGTTTATAATATTTTTGGATTAGAGAAAGGCAATTACCTTTTGGATTCATCAGAATCCTTGGATTCCTAAATTCTTATTAAAATGATCTGCTTAAGGCTTGTGAAAATAACAAAGTTCCCATTAATATAATTTTGAATCGGTCTCCTAATACTTTATTTAAATTATTCAGCAATTTTACTACATTTACCACTTCTAGCTCTAAAGTATTTAAACCTTTAACTAAAAAAGGGCCGTGCCCTATTTCTCCAATTACTATTCTCCTGGTTGATCAAGATAATGTATCCAAATCTTTTGAGGAGTTGGAACACTATATGTCCCAATTTAAGAACCAATTAGATAGTTTTGCTAAAAAAATTGTAAAAAATTTAAACTTCCTTTCTAATAGTTTGTTTAAACCTTCAACACCAGAAAACATTAATATAGAAATTTTTCAACCCTTGTCTTTAAATTATATATGAAAAGAATTAACTTTATCTTTTTTAAATTTTAAATTTTCTTTGTTGGTCCACTATGAAGAACTTACCCTTAAGAGTAAAACATCATTATCCCCAAATAGAACTACAGCTAGAAATAATTTCCTAGACTCTTTTAATACCTTACAGAATTCTTTAAATACTACTACCCAGCATAATAGAATAGTTTCTCTATTCATTACAACCCCAGGTGGAAATCCTCTAACAATAATTCTCGAAAGTGATTTAGATGAATCTACTGATTCAAATTTTGAATGGTATACATCAGCCTGGAAACATAAAGATCCTGAATATCAGTTCAATGAAAATAATTCTAATACTGATGAAATAATTGATGAAGTAAGAAGGCAAAATAAAATTATAAAAGAAAAGCTTAAGTTCTTGTCAGCTAAATGTTTGTATGATTTGGCCAAAAATGCTTATTTTTAAGAACAAGAAGTGAAACCAGATCTTTGTGGATATATCTTTATTAAGTTACAAAAAGAAAAGTATAATCCTATTAGTGATATATTTGATTATTCCTTCAGGGAAGAAGTTAATAGAAGAAATACTTTCAATATAGGTTCCCTTGATGAGAAACAAAGTAACCAACTTAGGAATTTCTTGGAGCAAAATTCAAGTTTATTTACTTGGAAAGATTATAAATTAAGATGCACCAATTTAGTATCAATACTGGAAATGCCTTACCCATTAAGTATCATCCATATTAGCATTCTCTAGCTGAAAATTAAAACTAAAATTGACATAATGTTAAAAGAAGGTTTCATTCAACCTTGCCAAAGCCTGTAAACATCCCAGTGGTATTGGTTCCTAAACCCAATGGTCAAACCTGGTTTTGTATAGATTACTGAAAGCTCAATTTGGTAACTCAAAAGGACAATTATTCTCTACCTCGTATACAAAACCTTCTTGATATCTTAAATAAGTCTTCATAGTATAGTTCGTTAGACCTTGCTAGTGGGTACTGGCAGGTCAAAGTTAAAGACTCAGATAAACTTAAAATAGCCTTCACTACCCCTTTTGGTGTTTACATGTTTCATGTAATACCTTTTGGGTTAACAAATGCCCTAGCGACATTCTAATGTCTTATAGACTATCTTTTTCAAGATTTGATTGGGGAGTGTGTTGTCATCTATTTGGACGACATTAATGTTTATTCGAAATCCTTTAAAGACCACCTAGCTCATCTAAAAATAGTTTTTGAATAATTAAGACTTGCTGGTCTTACCTTAAAATCATCTAAGTGTTTCTTCAGCCATCAACAACTAAAATTTTTAGAATACATTGTTAAGAAAGAAGGTATAGCCACTGACCTACAAAAAATAGAGGCTGTGAAGAATTTTTCTGTCTCTAAAAACTTAAGACAACTAAGAGGGTTTTTGGAGTTAGCCTCTTATTATCGAAAATTTATTAAAAAACTTCACTAAAATTGCCACCCCTCTTAATCAATTACTGAAGAAAAATGTTACTTACAAGTGGAATAAGGAGCAACATAAAGCCTTTGAAGAGCTAAAAGAGAAATTAATTACCACCCCAGTTTTAGCATACCCCAATTTTGACAAGACTTTTATTCTTTTTATTGATGCTTCTGATGTTGTCTTGGGAGCTATATTATTCCAAAAGAATGAGAAAGGTCTAGAACAAGTTATATCATATGCAAGTTGAAGTCTCACCTCTGCTGAGAAAAATTATTCCGTTACTGAAAAGGAATATTTAGCTGTCATATAGGCCGTAGAATATTTTTGCTCCTATTTACATGGAAGCCGATTCATTCTATATACTGACCATTCCGCTCTTAAATACTTATTTGAAGTTAAATTACCTCAAGACCATTTAACTAGATGGATAATGACTTTAACAAAATATTCATTTACAACTATACACTGACTCAGAAGATTTCACCTTAATGCCGATAGTCTTTCCCAAATTTAATAGATTGCTGCCAATAAAGAACCGGTAGTTCTAAAATAGTTAAGAAAAAGAAAAAGTAAAATATATATATTAAATTTTTAGAACCTGACAAAACCAAATTTTTGAAACCCAATAAAAATAGAAATTATTTTTAATTCTTATATACTTCTTTTTAAATTTGCAAATCCAGTCCAGGTTACAGTGTTCTGGCATTATCAATATTTTTTTTTAAGATTCATATTACCCATTTTCTTCTTTTAAAAGAAAATAAATCATTAAAATTTTCAAACGCGAATTAAACCAAGTTAGTGAGTATGGATCCCCAATTATATATTGTTTACCTTTGGTATCTCATGAATACCATAGTACCTTTTCACTTTACTTCTCAAGAGATTAAGAATTTAAAATATAAGACCTGTTATTATTTGGTCCTAGATGAACTATTATATAAAAACAATCCCCGATTTTCCATGTATCCATTATGCATCCTAAAGGAAGGTGAAACCCAAGCCATACTTTTTAATATACATGATGATCCTCTTTCCAGACATTTTGGCTTTTATGCCACTTACCAAAGAATTACCACTTGTTATTTTTGGCCCCAAATAGGCAATGATATAAAAGAGTATATTAGAACATGTGATGTATATTAGAAAAAACAAAAACCTAACACCTGCAAACCTTTGTACTCTATTAAAGTTAGAAGCCCTTTCAATCGTATAGATATTAATATTGTGGGTTTACTTCCTGTAACCTCTTCAAATAAAAGGTACATTGTAGTTCTACCAAATATCTTACTAAATGGCCCAAAGCCTAAGTCCTTGAAGTAGCCGATACTGAAAATGTAGCTACCTTTGTTTTTGAAGATCTAATTTGCCACCATGGCAGCCCTAAAGAAATATTATTAGACCGGGGTACACATTTTTGTAATAAGCTTGTCTCAGCTCTGTGCAAAAAGCTAAGCATTACTCATTATATCTCCATGGCATACTATCCCCAAACTAATGGTTTGGTCGAGCATTTTAATAAGACTTTGTGTGGAGTCTTAAATAAATGTGTTAATCAATCTAATAAAGACTGAGATCAATATGTTTTTCCCACTCTTTTTGCTTACCAAACCACTCTACATCGTATCACCAAATATCTACCATTTTTCTTGTTATATGGTCGATTAGTTGTCTTTCCAGTAAAAACCAACCTAATAACCCATCAAACCCGACCTGGAATAGAAGAAGAATTACAAAATCAAGTATTCAGACAGGTGGAAAAGATAATAGGTGAATTAACAGAAGCATGGTGCATAGCGGCTCAACAAATAAAAAAATCACAAGTTAGGCAAAAACAATACTATGAAAAAAAAAGATAGAGTCATATGAGATTGGCAATCAAGTCTTTTTATATAGATCTGATCTAGCTACATCGCACAGTTCTAAATTAGAGCCTCAAAATTTAGGCCCCTATTATATCCATAACATACTACCCTATGGGTTATACAAATTAAGAACAATGAATAGACACGTGCTCAAGGCTAAAATTTATGGAAACCAGTTGTCTCGATATTATCTGCGTTTGTAATTGTGGAACTCCCTTGAAATTATGTCAGTCACAAAAATAAAAAGCCTGCTCTAAAGATTTTACTTTTTCCTTCTTTTTATTATACTGTATAACCGCGAAATAACGCACAAGAGCGTTATTTTGAAGTTTGGCCTGAATTAAGCTTAATTTAGGCCGAAAATTGAAATTACACCTCTGCGCGTTATTTCATGGTTATACAGTATTTGTCTTTTTATTTCATTCTTGTTTATATTTTTTTTTATTTTTTTTATTATTATTATTTTTATTTTTATTTGTTATGGGAATTCCTACTGCTATAAAGAAAACCCTTGCTACTTTAAAGACCCAAATGTTAAAGACCGGAATTGAAGGCACTTATTTAATTTTCCCTGATAATATCATTTATTTTGTCAATCAACAATTTCAAATCATCGAATTGGAGTTATCTAAACGTAAAAGCAATACTCAACAATTACACAGTAAGATACCATTATTCCTTGAGGATCTATGAAGGAGCAAGACCCTAAATTGTTCTCTTGAACCACCAATAGGAGTAACTTGGGAGGAACAAGTTACTTATGTTTGTTTGCAACTAGCCTTGGGTAACCTCCACTATCCTGGTCAATTGCCCCAATATTACTCTCTTGGGTCTTTATTGGAAAATAAAGCCTGGAAGGACAAAGCTAAAGGCTTTGTTAAACAAATGCTGCTACAAAAGTATCATGACATATTAATTATTGCTCATAGGGTATATTTTTTATATTGCGCTCATTGTTCTTCCTATTTTTTCACATCCCAAGCTATTACTCTGTACATTTTATAATAGCTTTGGAAAGAAGACTTTGCTGCTTTAAAAAGCGAAGCTCAAATGTTGGCTCAACAGGAGCTTAATAAAGTCCTGTGTTTGACTTCTTTCGCAAGAGCTCAAGGCTAAGGGGAGGCAAATATAACAAATATTTTCTTTATTTAGTTTTTTTTTAATTATTCGTTTATTTTATTTTTCTTTCTTTATTTTTATTTTTACTTTAGTTTTATTTTCTTTTGTATATAGTTTATTTGTACCAATTCCATTTTGATAACAATACCCACGTAGTATAGTCACGATAGGAATATTCAATTAGTTATACTAAAAAAGAAAGTAATAGTGGCTTGGTGGCTTTGCCCATGAAAACGCATGAATGCTCTAAATAGTGCATATACACACTTACACAAATTTGTAGATCCTGCGCCAAGAGCGTAAACACTTAGATTCAAGCGTATACATTTGTAAAAGAGTGTATACATTTAGTAAAGAATGTATTTACCCAAAATAGAGCGATAATGCTCTAAGGCAATTAAATGTATATAAGAAGTAAAATTTTAATAAAGTTGGACAAATTCCACATTCGCTTTTAATGACACAAAGTAATAAAGTATATACTTATCTTTTGTAAATTTCGACTTGAACTTTAATAAACCCTTTTGTAACTCAATTCGACAGACTGAATTGACTTGTAACCTTGATACGGCTTATTAAAACTCAGAATTTCTGTGTAATGGTCTCTTTATATTTTGGAACTTGGTCACGTGATTTCTATTTGAAAGTGTTTCGCCTAAAGAAAAGAATTGTTTTGGAAAGAAAAGTAATCGCCCCCACCTCCTTTGGCATCACTAGCATCAGCTGATTTTATAAAGAGTTGAATTAAATCGTAGCTTATCTATAAATCATTTTGAATCATATTATCGCTTTAGATATCAAATTCCGTTGATATTATCCCTGGATAACAAGTATATTTATTCTCAATCTTTAGAGTGATTATTTTTAAAGTTCTACCCTTTAACATCATTATCAATCAATCATACCGCTTTTAACTCTTTTCAAGAAGTATTACTTCTTCATGATATCATTTTCAAATCATTTTAATTCATCACTTTCAACGTTTATATTTTAGTTATTATCATTATCTCAATCATATTAAGTTGTCTTCGTTCCAAAGCTTGATTCATTTTTAAGTTATTTATATTTTTCTTTCGTCTATATAAATCTCAATTCTGTAATCGGTTGGAGTTCAAATTGGCACTATTTGTCTATAATCACCTCGCTCTTCCAAATACAACCATTACAGTACCAATAAAGGTCAATAGGGGTTTCTAATTGTAAGCTAAGAAATCGGTGTTAAAAGAAATGAAAAAAAAATCATTCAAATATTATTAAAAATCTGATTTTAAACTTTAACACAGATAACACGAAAATTAATTAACATCTAACTATAGCTTGATTTTTATTTTAATTTCACAATATCGATACAAAAAAATTAATAAATAAGTTTTTCAAGTATATTAAATTAAACTTTTAATTTAAAATTAAATTTAGATGATGTGCTGTGTGAAGGAAAAACCAGGTATGGTATTAATAAATTATTATACTCTGGATCTTATTCAAGAACAGTAAAGTTAATGCATAATACCTGAATCTGTATTATTTTTGGGAGGTAGAAAAGTAATGGCAAAAAAAGTTGCAACTATGTGATCGTTAACCGTTTCCAACTTATATGACATTATGAGATTAAAAGGTAAGATAATTAACTTTAAGTTTTGTATTCGTAAATTTTTTTGGAACAAATTAAGATAACACTAGATTTATTAACTTGGGATTTCACTTAAATAAAATTGGGAATAAGAAGAGTTACGAAGGTAGAGTTAGCTTTATTAAGTGTAAATTAAAAATAGCTTTTTCTTGATTAGAATTAATATAGAAAATATTCTATTTTATATGTCAATACATTATGTAAACCAAACTAATTAATTTCATTTTTATTAATAAATTTTCACCTTTATATGTTCGAACATTTACTATATTGATTTATTAACTTGTAATCGAACGATTGATTTCGTTATATATATCAATAAGGATAGCTGCATGACATGCGATACTGCACAATCATGTGTGATATGTAAAATTCAAATATTTGTCTAAAACCAGTGTAATAGTTGAATGGAGTTGCGATTAATATATATATAGTGTAGCTCCAATTAGAGTTAATACCTCTATCCGGGTTTATATATTGGATATATACTATGTCATATAATATAACGTGACATAATGTTTTTATATCCGGATTTATACTATGATAAAACCAGATTACCGTATAGTCGCGAAATAACGCGCAGGTGTGTAATTTCGAATTTTGGCCTAAATTAAGCCTAAATCAGGCCGAGATTCAAAATAACACCCCTGTGTATTATTTCGTGACTATATAGTAATCCGGATATAAAAAATATATCCAGATTGAGATATTAACTCTAGCTCCAATATTGATGTTATGTGGATTAAATGATATGATGTTCTAAAGCATTGTAAATCTATAAGGGCGACTTGATGATAATTGAACATAATAATATAAAATCCTTATAACAGTTACTTTATAATGGAAACAAGGTTTCCTTATATAAAATAAATGCTTCACTTTTTTATATTTGATCGATATGAAAGAGAACACATTAGAATCTACTTTATGACATTAGAAGTTTCTCGTTAACATGTGCACTACCTCATATAGAAGCTTTAACAATTACAATTCTAATTTAGTTACCAATGATTGCTTTAAATTATCATGATTTCTATTACTAGTTTTTGTAAAAAATTTCTTAAAAACTTATTCTCTATCTAGAATGTATTAAGGTTTAATTAGTTTATATCAGAACTATTGTATTCCACAATGAATATTCTTGGTACAAAACTTACTTGCTATTCCGGTGGTACATAGTAGTTAAGACTGTTTTGAGTTTGTATTTAAATTATTGTATTTCTACTATGAGTTACTGTAATGGAAGTACGTAGTTGTATTGAAATTATCACAATTTCCATGATTTGCGGCAAACTATCCTGTAACAAAACCTACCTTCCAGTGATTGTATCAAGTGGTTTAAAAGTCAAGTCGATGGGTTATTATAAAAAAATCCTATACAGAATTTACTCGCTAATGTGATACAAATAGCGGTTAAAGTTGAATTAAAATTATTATAATTCACCATTGGAAAAATTTATAAAGCATTCGAATTATCATAATTTCTACATGATTAAAATTAAATTAGCTTGTATTACCACATTTCATGTGATCGTGCTGTATTACCATATTGTGTGAAATAATGCGCAGGGGTGAAATTACAAACTTCGGCCTAAATTAAGCTTAATTCGGGCCAAACCTCTAAATAACGCCCATGCCCGTTATTTCGCGACAATACGGTAATTATGATATCGATATTGATTATACAACTGTTAATTAATATAAATTATCTGATATTTGATTCATTCAAAGTTTATAAAGGGTTCGGAAATGTCGGGATCACATGGTCACAACTTTTTTTTTTGCCATCACTTTTCTACCTCCAAAAATAATACAGATTTGGGTATTACTCACTAATCTTACTGCAGTACTGTTCTTGAATAAGATCTGATATTCCAAATACAATACCTGGTTCTTCACACAGCACATCATCTAAATTTGATTCTAAATCAAATTTATAATTTGGGCTGACGTCAATAGAAATAAGGCAGATTGACATTTTAAAAAAATTAATGCCTTAACTTTCATAGCTCATATCTTAATGAGCTTTGAGGCTAGCTTGATAATTTAGTATTCAAAAGAAAGCTTAAATCTAAGCTTTCTTTTGACTATCAAATAATTAAAATAGCTTCCGTCAAGATATGAGCTGTGAAAGTTAAGGCATTAATTTTTTTAAAATGT